CGCAATCAGGAGGCTGTGAGTTCAATCTAGAGGCAGATATTTCTCTTTGTCTGGACACGTTGAGACTATATCTGCTGAACAAAACTCCACACTGGTGACAGGAAGGGCATCCGGCCAGTAAAACGCTCTGCCCAGACTCCACCCTGATGCAAGGAATTAGGGGGTCGTTAAAAGAGGACGATTTAGTGACCGTTCGAAGTTCATGGCACTTGGAAAAGATGGCTTACGACCGTTTTTCACCTTTCCGACATTCCCGCGGACACCCGATCAAAAAATTCGGACACTTGGCAACTGTCTTGCATTTATGACGGTTGTAGCGGTCATGTTTCGTGACCTTCTGACAACATCAATGGGGGAAGCCAGATAATACAATCAGTGCCCGACAAATCCACCCCCCATTCAAATCATAGGTCTCTAGCCTCATCTCTCAGAGAAAATAAAATTGATTTATTAGAAGTGGCCATGTTGGTGTTAGCTGGATGTAGCCGACACTAAAATACATCAATCATTTCCCCCTTGACCCTGGCCTTCCTCCAACCCCCTGGATGTATATTCTCCAATGGGACACATCCATAGCCAAGAGTCATCAATCATGCTCTCCAGTAATAATCTTGCGTGCCAACAGCTTCGGCTGCCTAGCAGTTATCTGAAGCATTTCAGGAATGCACTGTCTTCCAGCACTCCCTTTTTCTGGCAGCTAAAAAGACCAAAGGAGTATTATTATTTTTTAGTTGACAACCAGGTTACTACCAGTAACTTAATAACTACAATCATTCACTTAACGAATGTGGCATGAAAAGTCGTAAAACTGGGGCAAACCTCACTGAATACAACGTCTCCCTTAGCCACATCAATTCTGGGCTCCATTGCGGTTGTTAAGTAGGGGGCTACCTGTCTAGATGGTCCTTGAATGACCCCCGGCCACCCCTTCCGGTGCCACTTCGGACCAGCTCACCTTCCAGCTGCCTGCGTTCGTGGTCCAACTCCACCGTTTCTTTGTCCAGCTTCTTGGCCTTGGCGGACATCAAATAGAGGTAGGCCTGGTCTCCGTCCCTCTGGATACCTTGGTAGTGGAGGGTCTCGTGGTCCTGTGGAAGCCTCCGTCCCACCACCCACTTCTGGATGCTGGGTGGGAAACCATAATGGAGGTGCATCTGTTCAGCAGACAAAAGGCAGCTGTCAGGAACCTTCTAGAATAGAATAGAATGACATGGGAAGGGACCTTGGAGGTCTTCTAGTCCGCTCCCCTGCTGTGATGACCCAAGGGGGCAAACAAAGTCACAAAAATAGGTAAAGTCCCTTTAATGCCTCCAACTTGGCCCTCAATGTCCAGTTATCATCGGCTGGAGAGAAAAAAATCTCCCAAAAACAGTTTTCAAAGGAAAGAAATTCTGTCCGAGCTCAACGTGCATATAAATTATAAATAAAAACCAACACAAACCACGTTGCAGCAATTAACGAGACAGGGCAGGATAAGGGATTGAGGACGTCAAAAGAGAATGAAACACACACGCTTGGGGAGGACGCCAGATAAGACTTGGACAAACCAGAATAATTTCACGCTTTGCTTCCAGCAACTTTGCCGTGCGCGGTTTGCCCTTTTAAACAGTCTTCCCAGCTGCAGCCCATGAAGGGGATCAGGGCCCTTTCCTCCCCCCGTAAACCACACAACTCACATTGCTCCCTTATCCGTTCCTCCCTGCGTGCCCTAGGATGAAGAGGGGGTGGGCCTGGGTCTTCCTCTGAACGCCCAGCCGGCCTGTGCCCTTCCCCAGTTTCCTCCACAGCCACCGGAGCCACACACCCCACTCCCTGCCAGCTGTTCCACCTCCCCCTCGGAACCGGATTCCAAACAGGGGCATGACACCTGCTCCAGCAGGAGAACGGATACCATCTCAGGTAAGTGACTGTCTAGCCTCTTCTTAAAAGCCTCCAGGGATGGACCGAAAGATGCTTTTATTTTCGTTTTTTTTCCATGAGGCAACTGGACTTTCTGGTTTTTCTCCGAAGACGTTTCGCTTCTCATCCCAGAAGCTTCTCCAGCTCTGACTTGGATGGAGGAGATATGGAAGGAGTTCGTTCAGTCAGCGCTGATGAAGCTTCTGGGACGAGAAGCGAAACGTCTTCAAAGAAAAAACAGAAAGTCCAGTTGCCTCTTGGAAAAAAAACGAAAATAAAAGCACCTTTGGAACAATCGTGACCTTTGGATGACTGAGAATCTCCACAGACGCCTCCAGTGTTGGAGCATCCACAACTTCTGGTGGCAAGCTGTTCCGTTGGTTAATCGTCCTCACTGTTAGGAAGTTTCTCCTTAATTCCAGATGGCTTCTCTCCTTAAGATTATTTTCCATCCGTTGTTTCTTGTTCTGCCTTCAGTTCAGGTATTTTTGAGAATAAATTGACCCCCTCCTCTTTATGGCAAAGCCTCTCAAATACTGGAATAATGCCATCATGTCACCCCTAATTCTTTCTTTCCTTAAACTAGCCAAACCCAAATCCTGCAGCCGTTCTTCGTATGTTTTAATCCCCAGGCCTTTGATCCTCTTAGTTGCTCTTCTCTGCACTTTTTCCAGAGCCTCAACCTCTTTTTTTTTTGTACTATAGTGACCAAAATTAGTTACAGTACTCCAGGTGCGGCCTTACTAAGGATTTGTAAAGCGGTACTAATACTTCGTGCGATTTGGATTCTATGCCTCTGTTTTTGCAAACCTTGGATTGCATTAACTTTTTTCGGCTGGCTCATGTTTAAGTGGTCCATTAGGACTCCCAAGTTCCCTCTCGGAGTTTCTCCATCGTTGCCGTGGCAAAAACCTGGACTGAAAACCCTGACTCCTCTTGAAAATGGACAGGATGCAGAATACCACGGTGACATCTTCCTAGGAGAAGAGAGCTGGAAGGGGACCTTGGAGGTCTTCTAGTCCAGTCAAGCAGGAGAACCTATACAGATTTAGATAAGTGACTGTCTAGACTTTTCTTAAAAACATCCAGCGATGGAGCACCCACCAATTTCTGGAGGCAAGCTGTTCCACTGGTTAACTGTCCTTCAGGAAGCTTCTGCTAAATTCCAGGTGGCTGGAGTCCTCCAAGATCACCCAACTTTCCCCCCAAATCTGCCTAGACAGGATCTCTTGACGGTTCATACCATGTCTTTGAGGGAAGCCATAGTCATGGAAGGCTGGACCTTCAGAAAGATTGGGGTGGTGACCATCTGGGCATCTTCCACGCCCACCCAGATCCTAGAAGAAAGGAGAGGCATCATGAGAAGTTTCCCTCGCCAGGTCTGACTCCAAAACTCATCCCTTCTTCTTCTCCACGGTTCTCTTAACCTCTGACTTATTCATACTACCAAGGTCAGAGGTCCTCATTGTTGTGGCCCGCCAGGAGCCAACAGAGCTGGCAGGAGACTCAGACAGTGAGGAGGTTGGGGAGGAACATGGGCCAGTCCTGGAGTCTGGGGAAGGCTCTGATGAGTGGTCTGTGTTGGAGGCAGAAATGGGGCCAGGGCCCTCTGACAGTTATCAGCTGCCTTCGGAGTCGGAGATCGGTGGGGAAGAAGAATAGCTGGAGCCTGTTCCCAGTGTGCTCATGCACAGAGCTGCCAGATGAAGGGAACAGCTAAGGAACAAGGGTCAACTCGGGAGTAAAGGCTCAGGTGGACGGTGAATAACCCCCCCCCCCCCAGGGAATAAAAGAGGAGAGAAAGGGGAGTGGGGTTTTCAGGAGACAATTAGTTCAATTCATTAGGGTGAAGATCTGGGCCTGACTTCTTGCCAAGTCATTGTTGCTACAGTGTGGCGTTTGGAAGCTATCGGCCTGGCAACTCTCCCAGCCTGATCAAGGTCTGGGGTTGTGAAATCTCATGAAAGACTATTTGCCGGGACTTTGCTCAAGTGGAATTCCCTAGAACCTAAATAAAAAAGGGTTTTATCGGGACAAGGAGTCGGTTTCATGTTCTTGGAAGACTTGCAGCCCGAAGCTGAGTCATGATGTCCAGGACATCTTAAGAGAATACTAATCCAGACATTGGATTTAAAAACCAGTAAATATTTTTGTTGGGGATTTTGCCCGAAACTTACCGTCAAGGAAATGCATATTTAATTATACATTAACTGCAGCTAGAATTGCATTTGCACAAAATTGGGAAAGTGATGAGATCCCTACAGATGAGAATGTGATTAGGAAAATATTAGAATGTGCGGAAATGAACAGATTAACGCTTGCTATAAAAAGGAGAAAGGACAAACGGAATATTATATGACATGGGAGCTATTTTATGGATGGTTGGAGAATAAAAATAGAAGTGAGAAATAAATGGAGATTAGTGAAATAAAGAATATATGTTAAGATAGAGATGTAAACATTATGATGATTATTAATATGATCATTAAGATTATACCTAATATATTATATTTTCATTAGAAGATACGTTAGGAGGGAGAAATAAATCTTCTATCTTCTTCTTTCTTATATATATATAAAAGTGAAATACCCCTCATGCATCATCACAAAATTTCCAGAACTGTAAAGCCTACAAACTTGAAATTTGGCTCGTATGTACCTCTTGGCTTCTAGATGCTAAGAAAGGATTTTTCCAAATGACCACCAGAGCATTTAGAGTATTTCCCATATTATTATTATTATTAACACGCTCTGATGCTAAGGAGGTCTACTCCCCCTCCCCACCTGGAAAGAAATCTCTTCCAAATGCAAAACACAAGCAAAGGAGAGGAGTTTCAGTTTCAGAGCACCAAGCAGCTTTAATACAGAACAGTTGAGCTAAGCCACGCCCAGGCTCCTTGCTGTCTCCTTCTTGCTCACCCAGCAAATACTGTTTCAGTTTCCAAACAGCCCTCAACTCTCTCACACACTGACAGGACGCTAGCCAGATGAATACCGATGGATGCTGGTAAGCAGAGGAAGAATTTTTTCCCCCTTATTTTCCTCCCCAAAAACTAAGTCCGACAACGTAGTTTCGTAGCGAAGCACGGGTATCCAGCTGGTAGAGTTATAATGCTGATTATTTATATTGTAAGGTTAGAGAATTATCACCAATGTAACGAATACCATAAATGTTGATTGTAAAAGCACAGAGACGTTTGCACCCAGACGACATGCTGCTTAATGGAAGATGATACATTCAAGTTTTAAAAAAAAAAAAAAAAAAAACTTACCAAAAATAATATAGTGTATATATAGCAACACTGTATAGTGCAGTGTTGGTGCGGTGTCGGGGGGGGGCTTTCGGTTCAAAGTGTGGAGTGTGAAGGATGTGTGTTTTGTGTTTATTTTCATGGTCATGATGTGCCCTGAAAATGGTCTTTGATTTCGTTGGACGAGGTGCAAGGACAGTAAAGTAAGGTAAACAAACAAAAAAAGAGAATACGAATCCAGAAATCAGGACCTCACCATGCCAAGTGATACAAAGATGAAGTCATTTTAAAGTCAAACTTGGCTCCTGATGGACGCATCTCGTACACAGGTAGTCCTCAACTTATGGCCACAATTGAGGCCCAAACCTCCCTTGTTAAGCAAGACAGTTGTGAAGCGAGTTTTGCCCCATTTAAAGACCTTTCCGGCCACACTTGCAAACGGAATCACTGCCGTTGATAACTTAGTAAGTGAATCGGGGGGGATTCCCTATTGACTTTGATCTGGGGGTCACAAAGAGAGGATCTCATGACCTTGGGACACAGACCACAGTCATAACTTATGAGTCGGTGTCTGAATTTGGATCACGTGACTACAGGAACACTGCAACCGTGGTTAAGTGTGAAAAGCGGTCACAAAGTCGCTTTTTTTTTTTTCAGCACCGTTCCATCGGTCACTAAAACAAAGGGTTGTTAAATTGAGGACTGCCTGTATAGAATAATAAAGCAACATTCCTGGAATCCTTACCAAGTTTCTCGGCCTGGCCTACTTAGAAGGGCTGGTAGTCACAAAGTAAAAAAAAAATTGGTTTCTTGCCTCAAAACGACGGGAAGCCCAACGCTGAGGATGCCACAGAGGCTTTAGAAGCCACAGACAGGATTTCCCGTCCCCTCCCCGATTTTCAAATTTTATAGGGTCTTCTAGGCCAACTTTTGGACCTCAGGGACCACCAAAATCATTTTAAATCCTGCGGAGCAGAGACCCTGGAAAAATCCCCCAAAAATGTCTGCAGGAAAATCCCCCACCCCGTTTTCCTACCGATCGATTGATCTTTATTTGGGATCGCAGGATACCGTCTCCAGCTCCGTTTTCAGGGGGAGAGAGAGAGACTTTTGGCTTCATGCAAGGAAAGCAGCAGAAGCCGCAGAAGTTTTTCTTTCTCTCCCCCCAAACTCCGCCAGGAATGAGTCTTTCCCAGCACAGCCTCTTGGAGCAGGAGGCCTTCCAGGGTCCCAAAGGCTCATTCCTGGCGGAGTTTGGGGGAGAGAAAGAAAGACTTCTGCTGCTTTCCTTGCATGCAGCCAAAAGGAGAAGAAGAAAGAGGTAGAAAGTAGCAGCCCAGTGGCCAGGTGAGGCGTGTGGGGCAAGTTCTCCCTCTTCGTCCTTTCCCCCCTCCCCTCCTACCTCGTGTTGTTTGCAATGCAAGCGACGCAAGCCTTGTGTTCCCACGGGCCATGTGGGCGGCGCAGCCATGTGTTCCCGCCCAGCCTGGATTAATTGCTTTGGGAGGGAAAACATTTCTCTGCAGGCCACCAAAATTTTCTCGCAAACCACCAGTGGTCCCTGGCCCACAGGTTGGCAACCCCTGTTCTAGGAGAATCCAGCTGTCTTTTAAGATTCGCATCCAGGACCGCATCGCCTCCCCTGGCATCACCTAATGTCGTGCTCCGGATAGGCGTCTCGTTCCAGCTGCACCTTGACAGGGACGCGCCGCTCGGCTAGCCAGACGGCGCAACGCTGGGCGACCTCTTCCTCCCCGTCTCGGATTGCCTCCGCCAGCCGAAGGGCTTGCTGCTCCGCTGAGGGAGAGAGCAGGAGGAGACAATTGGGCTATGGAACTCCTCGCCACATGACACTGCTTTGCCCCCTGGGAGGCATTTCCCGAGGGCAGGGGCGGATCTCAGCGTCTCAAGCTCCATTAAGGCAAGTGCCAACCCTGAGGTCTCTGTCGTCGTGCCCGTTCTGTGTTGGGGAGGGAAAGGCAGTTTGGGGGCCACTGGGCTAGGGGACTGTGGCTCTGGACCTCCCCCTGGCATGGAAGCTGATGGGTGACTTTGGATCAAAAGAACCAGGAGATGGGGAGTTCTAGTTGGAGGGAGGGAGGAAAAGAGAGAGGATGGGAGGGAGGGAGGGAGGGGGAGGGGGAGGGGGAGAGGGAGAGGGAG